TGAATTCATCAATTGCTTTTCAACACGAATTATGTACTATTCAGTTAACCTTAACTAGATAGGAATAATGAACTACAAAAAGTGATAGCATTATGGCGGTTTTAATACACAATTATTAAAAATCGCCATAATACATATGTATGCAGTTGTTAAGTCGTCATCCTTAAAATGACGATTTAGCATATAATATTACAGTTTTTAATTATCATATAGTTTTTCAAGATATTCTCTTGGTTTATCTTGAAAAGCTCGATATATCTCTCTCTTTAACTCTCACAATTATATATATAATGTGGAACATTAAAATAGTCGGGTATAGGGAGACTTTTGATTTTCTCAAGAATAATATAAGCTTAATAACAATAATTTATTTTTTGAGTAATCGTAAATAATAGTTATGTTTACTACGTTCAAAATCGTAAGAAGATTTATACTATTATCCCTTAAAAAGTTTGTTACAGAATTTTAAACTTTCCTTGAAATTTTCAAAGAATTTGTTATATCACATGTGTTAACTAGAATTTTTACATTTTGTAATCCATTTTCTATAATTAAGTTCACTATAGAAATACCACTAGAATGATATCTAAACATATTTCGTGCTTATAAATATAATTGCTTCAAAATAATGTTACGTTCCTTCAATATATCACCAATTATTGGCAGAATTCAAAATGTTAGTTGTATTCATATACTTTATTACATTTCGCTAAAAATCTCTTTTAATACACGGCGAATTTATAAATAATTGAGAACCACATGTTCTATTATCCCTACTAGATATCTATTCATTCACCTTTGATATCTAAGTTGTGCACACAAAGATCTTGAAAATTAAAGGCAAATTCAGAATTTTGTGTATCGCATAATATTTTTACTGTTTATATGGTCCAATAATATTGATTGCTAGAGGATAAAGGTCATTTTCAACCTTCAGTGGTTTTATAATTTTTGTGTTGTCACTTTATAGGTAAATAGTCTATCCTATAGTGACTATTTTCACGGTTCGATATCTCACAAAAAAAAAATTACTCATTTAAAAATTAACTAATATAACTAATTTATTAATAGCATAACAATTTTTTACGCTATTAATTTAATTAAAAATTCTGTAGCAAATTGTAGATCTTATTTCCTAGTAAATGGTTCCTCTCGTTATGAATAGTTACTTATAGTTATTATATCTTTGATGGCCTGATGATCTAGAAATACTTTTATATTGTCAGTATATAGAAGTTACTAAAGCTCCTAAAAAAATAATTTATCCCAAAGACCATTTATATATAAAAGGCATATCAAGTGACTAGGCAATTAGACAATAAAATGATGTTCTTTCTACTCTTTGTGGTCATTCCTATTTGCCTCGTCTTTCTTCTCCCTAAAGTCAAAAGGGGTAGAAAAAATAAGCTTCCACCAGGTCCTATAGGGCTTCCATTCATTGGAAATTTGCATCAATTTGATAGTTTAACTCCTCATATTTATTTTTGGAAACTTTCCAAAATGTATGGAAAAATATTATCATTGAAACTTGCTTCTGTTCAAATTGTTGTAGTTTCTTCAGCAAAATTAGCAAAAGCAGTACTCAAGACGCAAGATTTAGTATTTTGTAGTAGACCTTCTCTTGTTGGCCAACAAAAATTATCTTACAATGGTCATGATATTGGTTTTGCACCTTACAATGATTATTGGAGAGAAATGAGAAAAATATGTGTTCTTCATCTATTTAGTCTCAAGAAAGTGCAATTATTTGGTCCGATTCGAAAAGATGAAGTCTCAAGAATGATCAAGAAAGTATATCAACTAGCTGTTAATTCTCAAGTCACCAATTTGAGCAATTTGATGATTTCACTTAATAGTACAATTATTTGTAGAGTTGCTTTTGGTGTTAGATTTGATGAAGAAGCACATGAAAGGAAGAGATTTGATCATATTATGGTTGAAGCTGAAGCTATGTTGGCAAGCTTTTTTGTGTCTGATTTTTTTCCATCTTTAAGTTGGATTGATAAACTCACTGGATTGACAGATAGACTTGAGAAGAATTTCAAAGATTTGGATGATTTTTATGAAGAACTAATTGAACAACATCACAATCCCAATAGGCCAAACTCCATGGAAGGAGATATTATAGATCTTTTGCTTCAATTGAAGAAAGAGAAATTAACACCAATTGATCTCTCATTGGAGGATATAAAAGGAATTCTCATGGTAATTTCCCATTTCTTTAACCTATCTACTTCTACACGCGCTCACACACACACATACGTATACATATATATGCATATAGACATTTATATGTGCGTTTGTACATATGTAGAGAAAGATGACAAATGAGTGGCTAGGATTAAATACGAATGGCTTAACAATATAGATTATAATCTAATTCGCTCAAAATGTTCTTGAGGCAAAATGTATTAGAATTAAGATAGAAAAATGACGGGTCATAATTCAATTCGCTCAACACAACACAACCTCTTATCTTATTGTTTTTTGAAAAAAATGTGAAAGCTAATTTATTTTTCCTAAATTGTTAGCTAGCCTAAATTTGATTTTGCATGTATATATGAGCTTGGATGGTAATATAACCCATCTAGTTATACTTTTGTCTGTTTTAACCCAATAGTTTAACAAATGTTAATAGCGTGTTAATTACTAATATTTGTATTTATTATTGCCACTAAAAATATATATAACTATAATTATATATATTATTGCAGCTAAATATTGCCTTGAAAATTTCTCATGAATTGTCAATTTTTATGTAGAATGTGTTAGTTGCTGGATCAGACACTAGTGCATCTGTGATAATATGGGCCATGACAATCTTGATCAAGAATCCAAAAGCCATGAAGAAAGTTCAAGAAGAGATCAGAAATTTAATGGGGAACAAAAACATTGTAAAATGAAGATGATATTCAAAATATGCCTTATTTCAAAGCAGTGATAAAAGAGACTTTAAGATTATTTCCACCAGCTCCACTCTTAATACCAAGAGCATCAATTAAAATATCCACACTAGAAGGGTATGAATTTCAACCAAGAACTATAGTTTATGTTAACGCATGGGCAATTGCAAGAGATCCTGAAATATGGGAAAATCCAGAAGAATTTATGCCTGAGAGATTCTTGAATAGCGATATTGACTTCAAGGGACAAGACTATGAGTTTATTCCGTTTGGAGCAGGAAGAAGAGGGTGTCCGGCCATGGCACTTGGGGTTGCATCTGTGGAACTTGCATTATCAAATCTTCTTTATGCATTTGATTGGGAGTTACCTTATGGGTTGAAAAAGGAGGACATTGACATAAATGGTAGACCTGGAATTACAATGAATAAGAAAAATGACCTTTGCCTTATCCCTAAAAAATATTTCTAAATTACATCCCAAAGTGAATCTAAGGGGGAGTTCTTGAGGTAAGGCATCAATTGCTTTCGACTCGAATTAATCACTTTGTCGTATAAAGGATTGTTTCTTTGTGCTTTGACAATGGGCTTTTGAGGGTTATTCTGTAATTGAATGATAATAAGTCAATTTCATTGGTTGTGAATGCATTTTATATATGTAGCTTATCTTGATCTCGATCCCACATTTCCCTTGCCTTGACGCATCATGTACAACTTTTTATCTCCACTTTTGTCTTGTAGTTCTTTGTACAAACGTTCACATATGTTGTCATTTAACAGCTAACTTTGTTACCTTATATCTATCCCCATTTGCCCTCTTATCCTCCTCATTTTGTACATATGTAGAGAAAGATGACAAATCAGTGGCTTGGATTAAATATGAATGAGTTAACAATATAGATTATAATCTAATTCGCTCAAAATGTTCTTGAGGCAAAATGTGTTAGAATTAAAATAGGAAAATGACGGGTCATAATTCAATTCGCTCAACACAACACTACCTCTTATCTTATTCTTTTTTGAAAAAAATGTGAAAGCTAATTTATTTTTCCTAAATTGTTAGCTAGCCTAAATTTGATTTTGCATGTAAATTTGAGCTTGGATGGTAAAATAACCCATCTAGTTTAACTTTTGTTTGTTTTAACCCAATAGTTTAACTAATGTTAATTATAAATATTTGTATTTATTATTGCCACTGAAAATATAATATAATGATAATTATATATATTATTGCAGCTAAATATTGCCGTGAAAATTTCTCATGAATTGCCAATTTTTATGTAGAATGTGTTACTTGCTGGATCAGACACTAGTGCATCTGTGATAATTTGGGCAATGACAATCTTGATCAAAAATCCAAAAGCCGTGAAGAGAGTTCAAGAAGAGATCAGAAATTTAATTGGGAACAAAGGCATTGTAAATGAAGATGATATTCAAAATATGCCTTATTTCAAAGCAGTGATAAAAGAGACATTAAGATTATTTCCACCAGCTCCACTCTTAATACCAAGAGAATCAATGAAAATATCCACACTAGAAGGCTACGAATTTCAACCAAGAACTATAGTTTATGTTAACACATGGGCAATTGCAAGAGATCCTGAAATATGGGAAAATCCAGAAGAATTTATGCCTGAGAGATTCTTAAATAGTGATATCGACTTCAAAGGACAAGATCTTTTGCTTCAATTGAAGAAAGAGAAATTAACACCAATTGATCTCTCATTGGAGGATATAAAAGGAATTCTCATGGTAATTTCTCATTTCTTTAACCTATCTACTTCTACACGCGCGCGCACACACATATACGTATACATATATATATGCATATAGACATTTATATGCACGTTTGTACATATGTAGAGAAAGATGACAAATGAGTGGCTAGGATTAAATACGAATGGCTTAACAATATAGATTATAATCTAATTCGCTCAAAATGTTCTTGAGACAAAATGTGTTAGAATTAAGATAGAAAAATGAAGGGTCATAATTCAATTCGCTCAACACAACACAACCTCTTTTCTTATTCTTTTTTGAAAAAAATGTGAAAGCTAATTTATTTTTCCTAAATTGTTAGCTAGCCTAAATTTGATTTTGCATGTATATTTGAGCTTGGATGGTAATATAACCCATCTAGTTATACTTTTGTTTTAACCCAATAGTTTAACAAATGTTAATAGAGTGTTAATATCAAATATTTGTATTTATTATTGCCACTAAAAATATAATATAACGACAATTATATATATTATTGCGGCTAAATATTGCCTTGAAAGTTTCTCATGAATTGTCAATTTTTATGAAGAATGTGTTAGTTGCTGGATCAGACACTAGTGCATCTGTGATACTATGGGCCATGATTGTTGTGTGTCAAGAATCCAAAAGATATGAAGAAAGTTCAAGAAGAGATCAGAAATTTAATGGGGAACAAAAACATTGTAAATGAAGATGATATTCAAAATATGCCTAATTTCAAAGCAGTGATAAAAGAGACTTTAAGATTATTTCCACCAGCTCCACTCTTAATACCAAGAGCATCAATTAAAATATCCACACTAGAAGGGTATGAATTTCAACCAAGAACTATAGTTTATGTTAACGCATGGGCAATTGCAAGAGATCCTGAAATATGGGAAAATCCAGAAGAATTTATGCCTGAGAGATTCTTGAATAGCGATATTGACTTCAAGGGACAAGATTATGAGTTTATTCCGTTTGGAGCAGGAAGAAGAAGGTGTCCGGCAATGGCACTTGGGGTTGCATCTGTGGAACTTGCATTATCAAATCTTCTTTATGCATTTGATTGGGAATTACCTTATGGGTTGAAAAAGGAGGACATTGACATAAATGGTAGACCTGGAATTACAATGAATAAGAAAAATGACCTTTGCCTTATCCCTAAAAAATATTTCTAAATTACATCCCAAAGTGAATCTAAGGGGAGTTCTTGAAGTAAGGCATCAATTGTGAATGCATTTTATATATGTAGCTTATCTTGATCTCGAGCCCACATTTCTCTCGCCTTGACGCATCATGTACAACTTTTTGTCTCCACTTTTGTCTTGTAGTTCTTCGTACAAACGTTCACATATGTTGTCATTTAACAACTAACTTTGTTACCTTATATCTATCCCCATTTGCCCTCTTATCCTCCTCATTTTTTTTTATCTCCGTCCGCTCTATGTAAAAAACTTTTTGGACTTTCACTTCTTGAACCGCTCCATTCCATTATCCGTCCCTTACAATTAGAGGCGAATCTAAGATTTTTCAAACATGGGTGCACCAAGTAAAATGTATTGACGTGAGAATTGATCCTTAATCCTCAAGGTCAAAAACTCAACATTTAACCATGTGGACCATTTAGACTTCTTGTAGTACGGGTGCAAGAATATAATATTATACAAAATCTTAAAAAATATACATATAAAATATCTAATTTTACAAAGAGACCACAGGTGCGGGTGCCCTATTTTTTGGCTGTAAATTTGCCACTGCTTTCAATGTCCATCATGCATGCTACCTTTTGAAATTTCGATACCACTCTAGCTACTTCTCTAATGCTATTAGCCGTCCTATATATCCCACATTTTGTTTGCATATTCCCCACTACTCCTAAGTCTACATAAATGTCAATTTCTCCCTCATTTCCTAATCTTCGACAATAGTGATCAAGCACATCATTTAATCTTCGGTAGGTCATACAAAGGTTTCTTCTTCCTCTAATTCTCTAAAATCCATTATTAAGAATTTATGTTGAATTGTAAAATACTCACTTAGAATAACTTTGTTGTTCTTACATATATACTTTTTCATACTTTCGAAGGAATAAGTAATATATTTGAATCTTAGCCACCATGCTACAAAAAGCCACCAAGCGTCCTTCATTTTTTTTTTGAAAAACCCAAATTAGCTATCTTCAAATTAAAAGTTTTAACGAAGTTCAAAAGCAAAACTCCTCCTTCATTTCTATCCCCAAAATCAAAAGGATAAATTTCAGAAATATACGAATCTTTAGCCCAAAACAAAATTCAATATACAATATACAATATTATACATCCGATATACAACAATATATAATTTTTTATTATTTTTTTTTACAAATATGATTAAAAACTTGATATAAATTATTATAGACTCAATATATAATATTATAAAAAATTATAAAAGGTATTTATACACCTCATATACAATATTATACAAAAAAAGGACTTTGTTTTCTTCCTCAAATTCAAACATCAAGTTCATTCAAAAACTACACCAAATTACCCAAAATTTCACATTTAGGCTCCTCACTACCTAACAAATATCTTGCAACAATACCCTCTCGAAACGATATTTATTTGAGAAAATTTAATTTTAAAAATTTTATGCTTCGAGCTTCATCAATGACTGCTTATGACTAACGAAATGTCAATAGTTCTTCATAGTAACTCCAATTACGGAGATAAAACAATGACTTAATATGTAAATTTCTTAAAAAATAAGCACAATTACTAATCACTCTATTATATATACATATAGGACCATTCATTTCACTTCGAAGAACAAGCAAAGCAAACAAATTAGTCAATTACCGCCATCACCACCACTATAGTAGCTTTCTTCATTGAAGAAGCCGCCTTCCATTAGTAATCGGCTAATAAAATCACATCGGAAAATTTCATTTATGAATTAGAGAATGAAACGTGGAAAAAAGAGAATGTATTTTTGGTGCGTAGGAAAGAGAAATAAAAAAGAGATATCAATAAGTTAGTGGTTAAATTTGCTAAAGTTCAAATAATCATGGCCTATTTTGATACTCCCTACGTTCCTAATTAATTGTCCACTTTTGAATTGACACACCTATTAAAAAAATAATGATTGGTATAGTGAGTTTACCATTTTACTCCTATTAATTACGAACTGGATGAATTATAAATATAAAGATTTTCAAAAAGTTCTACCTTTTTCAAATTTAATTAATTGAGATTTGAAAGGATAATAGGTAACTTTTTTTTTTTGTTTTTTTATGATTTGTCAAAACAGACAAGTAAAAAAGGAAAAATAATCAAGTAATTAAGAACAGAAAAGTAATATTTTTGAATTAATTGTACTTTCAATTATCTTAACAAAAAATGCCATGTACATCAACATAACCCTCTGAAGTTGTCCTGAGGGGTAAAAAACGACATATAAAAATAAGATATTATCTATAATAAATAATATTTATAATTTAATAACTTAGAAAATAAAGTAAATAATCTGTTTTAGTAAGCAGAGTAAATTGATACTCTTCTTACCATCAAACTGTATGTATGATATATAATGTATAATATAATATAGTTTAAGGACTTCCTCCGTTTTATATTATGATCTATGTTGACTTGATATATATATATATATATATATATAATGTTGCTCGTGCTATGCACGAGCCTAATAATATAAATGATATGTTTTGGGGTTAATAACCGAGTTTTTGAAGCGATTGTTTGCGTGGATAAAGGAATAAGTTTTTTTTATCACAAACTTGTGCTTTCTTTGACGCTATTTAAGGCATAATAAGACTACCCACATATAACATTTTTGAAATATTTTATGTTGTCAATTATCATGATTTATAGTATTTTTACGATAGATTCACTTCAAGAATCA